CCTAAACCCTGAACCCCTTATACTTATGGGTGAGCGGAACATGATGGGTTCTCGAGGGCCATCGAACATCCTCCGAGGCGCTGGGGCTGAAACGGCTTGCTGATTGATACCGCCGGCATGGTAGACAAGCCCTGGTGCGTTGCAGGAGCTTGGGCGTGAGAGCTTTAGGGCGTTAGGGCTTTTTTTAAAGTGTGATGGCGGCCGGGGGGTTCATGGTTTCGGGCTTCGGGCGTAGGTTTCGGGCTTCGGGCGCTTCGATGTTTGTGTCCGGGCTTGAGGCTTTCTGCTTTGGGTTCTTAGGGCTGGGTGATGGGGAATGGCTGTAATGTAGGGGCCTAGATAATTCTCAACACTATTTTGGGGGCTCCTTATTATGATTATGGTATAATAAGCCCCAACACCCTATTCTAATTACTAATATAGAACCCGATTATAAATCCCTTATAGAATCCTTTAAGGATCGCTTTATTTAATGGAATCCGAAAACCCTGTTCTAATTACTAAGGCCCCGAAATTCTTGTCTGCGAACGGAACCTTCCGGGTTTTCGGGTCTAAAACTTCACGGTTTTCGGCTTCGGGCCTAGGGTTTAGGGTTTAGGGATTGGGCTTAGGGCTGAGGGGCTTAGGGTTTAGGGCTTAAGGTTTAGGGTTTAGGGGTTAGCTTCGGGCTAGGGGGGCTTCGGGTTTAGGGTTTAGGGTGCAGGGTTTACAGTTTGGGAATTTAGGGTTTGGGACCTTGGCTTTACGGCTTGGCTCCACCCGAAAGACTGACGACCGCAATGCTCGCTACATGTTTTTGGAGCCTGGCAAGAAGGGGGCTAGAAGGGGGTCCTTATGTCTAGCTGCCCTATTTTTTCAATAAGCCCTACTTAACATCTCAACTCCCAGCACGCACATCACATAACCTTACATGTATAGCAACCCTAAACCCTAAACCCTAAACCCACAGCCTAAACCTTGAACCCTGAAACCCTGAACCTTAAGCCCTGAACCCTACACCCTAAACCCTAAACCCTAAACCCACAGCCCAAACCTTTAACCCTGCACGACCCCCGATCCGCAGTTCCCGCCTGACGGGCGTCCGGCCGGCCCGCTGATGCAAGCACAAGCTTTGAGCCAGGACAGATGCGAAAGGAAATGAGGGTAAACCCTAAACCCTAAACCCCTAAAAACTAAACCCTAAACCCTAAACCCTAAACCCTAAATACCTGAATCTTGGGGTCTTTTGGGCCCTTGGGGCTCTATTCGACTCGACTAGGCAACGGTGCAGTCTTCAGGCCGGGGCTC